CTTCTGCGGGGGCGGGGGGGGGGGGGGTAGTAAAGGTGCGGGTGGGGGAGGGGAAGAAAGAAATGTAAAATTTGTTGGGTGTCGGAGGAAGTTATGTGTGAGTTGTAACTTCCAAAAGAAGAGGGACTGTTACTGATTCGTTTTGCCTTCAAATATATTCATCGGCGGCGCGTGCTCTTTACTCACAGATTAAATTTAGCTAAAGACAAGTTGATTGTTTTTCTCTCTTTTCCTTTCCTTCCTTTCTTTCTATTTCACACATTTCACAGGATTAGAGTCCGTTTGGACCTAAAAAAAAGTTTCACTTTTTTAGGAAATCAATGGTTGGCCATAAATTTTCTAATTTTCACTATAAGATAATTTTGATATTTTTCATAAATTTACAAAACTTCAAAAATTTATTTTCCAAAATTTTTATTCAGATCACTCACAAAATTTCAAACAATTCAAAATTATATTCATGTCCAAACACAACTCTAATTTTCAAATTCCATTTATACTTGAAATGTTTTCCACTTTTTTGAAATTTTACAATTCTTATGTCCAAACGCCCACTTAATCTCTTGATTTGTGATAATTCTAATACTTTTCCTAACTATAACATGGGTCTAAGCGGTCATAGAATCCGCTAATATGCACTTCGACTATTATATAATGGGTTGTTTGGTAATGTTTTTTAATCTATGTATAACTAATATTTCTATTTCTTCAGTTTTAATTTATGTGAATGTATTTCTTTTTTAGTCTGTTCCTAAAAGAATGACATGTTCATATTTGGAAATAATTTACCTTAATGCAATGATTTATAGTCACATAAAATATATGTGCCATATTTTACACCACAAGTTCAAAAATCTTTTCTTTTTTCCTAAACTCCATGCTCAGTCAATTAGGTTCACATAAATTGAAACGGTGGGAGTATTAGTTATATACCCTATTGAGTACTATTCTTATATATACTAAACCATGGCATTAGCAATACCATAATTTTTAATACATGAATAAGCATGCATAGAGACAAAACTATCATTTCAAAACCTTTAATACACCAAACCAAACTATCGATAAAAAATAATTTCAGTATAACTAATCACAACATTATTAATCAACATTATTAATACACCATATTCAGTACTATTTTTATACACCCTACCAAACGACCCCTA